AAATACCCAGATTGTACTTGTTTTCCACATTCCTCAGACTTGCTGTGAACTTCAAAGAACTAAAAGTTTCCCATGGCAAAGAGCAGTGTGTAACTGCCCCCATCAAAAACTTCTCTAGGGGCTGGGGATTTAGCTCAGCGGCATAAGCACCTGCCTTGCAAGCAGGCAGTCGTGAGTTTGATCCCTGGTACCGATAAAAAGGAAAAAGACAAAAAAAAAAAAAAAAAAAAAAAACCTTCTCTAATCATTCAAAACTTATAAATGTTAATTTTTTTATATATCTTATAATGTTCTCTATCATTAGTGTTCTTCAAACTAATTACATAGTAAGAGTAATGTTGAGCCAGCCACAACTAAGAGCAAATTCCACAGGCCTCCACCTTTGTAGGTTGTAACTTTGCAGATACTTATTTTTCATTCTTACCTTTGAGTTGCATGGACATTTACATCAGCCTGGCTACTTTAGTTGCTGACCTGGAACATGTGCCCACCTCCAGACTGCTGGCTTTGGAAGCTCTGTTCTCCTGCCTGCCTAACCAAACATTATTCTTCCTTTGAGGTCAGATTTAGTTCCACCACCCTGCGGACTCTTTTCTTATTCTCAGGCCCTCGATGATCTCCTTCTGCTTGGAATCTGAGCTGTGCATAGTCTTTGTGTGATCTTGAGTGTGGAATTTGGGCAGTGCAGCTTCTGTGACCAGCTAGAGAAAATTCTTTGCTTTAAAAAGTTCCTGTGATTAGGTTGGGCCTATTTGGATAATCTCCCTATTTTAGGTCAACTATTCTACAGAGAGCTTGGAGATTTAACTCAGTTGCACAACTCCCTCCCGGCAGAGTCCTGAGTTCGATTCCCAATACCCTCCCAAAAAACCCTCAAAAAAACAAACAAACAAACAAACAAAAAAATCCACTATTTTATATAACACAATCTAATTACAGTAGTAAAATCTATAACATTCCCAGACCTGAGGATTACACAGAATGTATAGACTAGGGCCAGGAAATCTCAGGAACATTTTAGAATTTCCCCTCTTTTATAGGTAAGACTTTTACAAGTGTAGAAAGCTCTCTAGGTGAGAAAGAAATGTGGACAAAACCTCAAAAGTAGTGGGATGAGGTGGAGTGTGCCTCTAATCCTAGAACTCTGAGAGGCTGAGAGAGGTTCACAAATTCAAGCCCAGCCTGGGTAATCTGTCACTCAGCAAGACCCTATGTCAAAACAAAAGACTTAAGAAAGTGCTGAGATGCAGTTCAGTGTGAAGGCCCTATGTTCATCCTCAAGACCACAAATAACAAAAATAAGCAGCCCAAAACCCTGAAACATGAAACTCCACCACAGGTCTTTAGAAACACCGAATATGTCTATTTGTGCCCCAATAATAATAGTAACGGCTCCCTTTCATGAAGGTCTCCTGGGTGCTTTACATAGTTTCACCCACCAGTGCTTACCCAACTCTACAAAGATGGTATCTGTCTACTCTTACAAGGAAAGAAATTTAAGCAACAAAGAGAAAAGTCGCTTTCAAGATTTCTATCTCAATAGAATTATAAAGTTGGGATTTCGGTTTAAACACTGGGTGACCTGACTTTGTGCTATTTAATCTGAGTGGTCTGGGTGGGGAAGCGGAAGGCTTAGTCTGGATCTAGGCTGTTGAGGGCAGTGGTGTGAACAGCTGTCAAGAGAGATTTTAGGCCAGGTGCGGTAGCCTGTAGTCCTCGCACGTGGGAGGTTGAGACAGAAAGATCATGAGTTTGAGGGCAGCCTGGGTACACAGAAAGTTCAAGACCAGCTTGGACTACACATCAAGACCCAGTCTCAAAAAACAAAATGAAACACAAAACAAAAGAAAGACTGATTTTAGAGGGTGCATGAGAATGTGAGGGAGGAAAAGAACAAAAGTGTATCTGGATGAGGAAAAAAGGGAGCAGTAGGACTGTGCAAAGCGCTACCTTAGGGAAGTTAATATGGCCAGTAGTGACGGCCTGGGTTGTGAGACTGGAGGCAGGAGTGACATGTCACAGTTGAACACCTGGTACCCCAACACTAGGTTGAGGCAGGAGGATCACCACAAGTTCTAGGCTAGTTTCGGCTACATAGGGAGACCCTGGCTCAAAAATAAAACAAAACAACCACAACAACAACAAAAAGACACGATCAAGCTTCTCAGTCTTGCTGCAAATTTGTAGGAAATACACAGGAGAGAACAAGCTAAACAAAGGGCTGGGAATTTAGCTCAGCGGCATAAGCGCCTGCCTTGCAAGCACATAGTCGTGAGTTTGATCCCTGGTACCGATAAAAAAAAAAAAAAAAAGAACAAGCTAAACTGCTCATGCATACGCAATGGGCGTGATTGTGCACACAGAAAAATAGGACAGAGCCCTATCACCCTAATATCACTGTCATTCGTGTAACATAAACATAAATTTTAAAAAACCAGTACTGTTATTAATACAAAGGAATGTGCAAAGAAAACAGCTTTGGTAGCTCTGCAGGAACAGATGAAAGTTTGACTCATTCTGACGAAAGGTCTCATAGGAAGGGGAGTTCCCAGCAGGCTGTTTAGTGACATAGTCAGTCATGGCCAGACTCTATCACTTGGGTAGCCATGGCTGGTTCTGGGCCACACAACTGGTACAGCTGCACAGGGCCCTGCACTCAGAAGGCTTCACGTCTGCAATCACTACTCTAACTCTTCTTGTCCTCTAGTTTGCATTGTAGAAATGCAGTCCAAAGGGACAATGGCACATGGGTCTGGCAGCCGCAGTTTATATAGGGGACCTGTTTTCTGCCACCCCTTGTGGATGGATCTGCACCTGTCTGCTTCCTCGCCCTCTGGCCTCGGGGCCCTGCTTCTGCCCGGTAATCACTGCCCCACCTTGGCCAGAGTTCAGCATCTGCTCCTCCTGGTGTCTGGGGAGGAGGCGGGGCATTGCCATTCCCACTGGAGCCAGGTGGGCCACAGCATGAGTGGTGGTTCACTCAGTGTGAGCAAGTGATTGTGTGCATCTCAGCAGAGGTCACCTATCTGCTCTGGGGTGGGAAGGCACCTGGTGTGGTTTCCTACACTAGCTGGGTAACAGAGAATCAGGCCTGCAGCTGGCAGTAGGAGGATCTTGGTGGCCAGGGGATTGTGTGGGCTCCCAAGTTTCTGAGGGTGTGTGTGTGTGTGTGTGTGTGTGTGTGTGTATGTGTGTGTGTTTATCCCAGAGCTATTCCTTGCCAGGGAGGGTGGCATTAAATAGCAAATAAAAATACAAAGACACCAGGCATGGTGGCACAAATCTGTCATCCCAGCACTTGAGAGGCTAAGGCAGGAGATTTGAAAAAAGTTCAAAGCCAGCCTGAACTGCACAGCAAGACCCTGTCTGAAAGAAAAAACAAATACCATCACAAGGGTGAGAGATCTCCGAAGAAATGAGTTTTTATATTTTAGTATCTCTAATAATTTTTTCCTCTTGCTTTTTGAACAAAGGTCTCATATTTTCATTTTGCAATGGGCCCAACATTAAGTAGCTGATCCTATGAGTATTCCGGAACAAATCTGTTTTGTTCCCCTGAAAATGGAGGAATAAAACAGCAAATACTGCACATACCTGAATTTAAATAAAGGTTTACTACAGTGCCTAGAACTTGGAGTGTACCAAATAACTGTTAGCTGAAAATAGTCCACTAGCTACAAAGTCATAGAAAAAGTAATTTTAGGGGGCTGGGGATTTAGCTCAGCAGCATAAGCACCTGCCTTGCAAGCAGGCGGTCGTGAGTTCGATCTCCGGTACCGATAAAAAGTTAAAAAAAAAAAAAAAAGACATACACACAAAAAAGAAAAAGTAATTTTAAAAATGTAGATGGATCTGGTGCCAGGTATGTTGGTGCATACCTAATGCCAGCACTCAGGAGGCTAAGTTTGCAAGTTTGAGGCCATCCTGTGCTACATAGTGAGTTTGAGTTCAAGGCCAGTCTGAACTATATAATGAGATCTTGTCTCAAAAAGGAAAAAAAAAGGATCTGGTAAACATGAGGAGGATTTAGCAACATACACAGCAGAAATGGGGGCATATACTCCTACACAACAATAACTTTAACAGTTATCTGGGACAGCATGTAGTTTACCCTCTTGCAAAATGTAGGTCCTTGGGAAATGTTTCTTTGATCTGAGGATGTTTCTTTGCTTGGCAATATTAATAAAAGTGCTTCTGCTCAAAATGGGGAACCTTGGGTAAAAGGGAGTTTGAGGTTAGAAAGACCTGCAGATGTCTTAAACAAACCTGCGGATTGAGTAATTTGTTCTTATCTGTCAACCTGTAAAATGTGCAGGCATTTTCACTTTGCTGTAGGCTTCTGTTCTTGCTAAACACAAGTGCAACAATGAGCTAAATGCAGGGATATTCATGCTGACTTTTTCTTTTCCTTTTACAGTTTATTTATTTTTTTAAGAAGGGGGTCTCACTGCGTTGCCCAGGCTAGCTTCAAACTCAAGGACTCAAGTGATCCTCCTGCCTCAGCCTTTTGAATGACTGAAACTACTGGCCCAGTTTCAAAGCTGTATTTTAAACCATGAAAACTGGAACTTAACCTGAGTCCATTAGAAGGAAGCTGGTTATATAGATTGATTTATTTCATGCAATGGACTACCGTGCTGTCATTAAAAAGGTTGAAGTAGATCTCTACCAACAGTAGAATAACCAGGGAATTTTAAGTAAAGGGGGAGAAAAAAACCTGGTTCTATTAACATGGTTAGTTTCATTTACTTAGGAAATATATATGTACAAGTGAATGCATATACAAAAGGTTACACACCAAGTCGATCTTGGTGGTGCACACCTATAATCCCAGCATTGAGAAACTGAGGCTGAAAGATCACTGAAGTTTGAGGGCAGCCTAGGCTACCCAGTGAGGCCCCGTCTCAAAAAAACCAAAAATCATAATAAAGGTACACAGCAAACTGTTAACAGAGCGTATCACTGAGCGCAGCCTGTGTGTAAATCAACAGGACACTCACGTTTCTCGGTGCACTTCTGTTGTTTGAACCTTTCACGTTTCCATACAACACAGAGAAGCGAATGGGAAGAGTGTTCGAAAGTCTCTAGCGAAAAGTTGAGGAGGGGGCGGGGAGCCACAGCCTGGGGTCTCCACGGAGTCCCCGCCGCCAGAGGTGAGGAGACCCCGCCCCGCTGAGGTGATTCTGCAGAGGGGCGGAGCTCTGCAGCTCGGAGGCGGGAGGTGGCTCCGGGGGCGGGGCCATTCGACTCCAGCCGTTCGCTCCGCTCCCACCATGCCCTTATAAGGAGCGCCCCGAGTTAGGGCTCGGGAATCCGGTTGCGATCCCGGCTGCACAGCCCCAGTCCCAGGCCCCTCCCTTGGGAATGGGGAGTGGGCGGGACTTTGGCGGTCGGTGGTGGGGGCGGAGCATGTCGAAGACGGACCAATAGGAGCGGCGTCTCAAATCTGAGCGGCGCCACCATTGGGCGCGACGACGTGAGGGGGCGTGGCGCCTGTAGGGCTGGTTACGCCGAGGGAAGCCCCGACTCCAGTCGCTTCTCCCAGTCAGTCTCTCCGCGGGTTCCCGGCCCAGCCGATTTCTGTTCTCCGTTGCCCGCGGTTCGCCGCCCCACCAGCCGCCGCGATGCCGGTGTTTCACACGCGCACGATCGAGAGCATCTTGGAGCCGGTGGCGCAGCAGATTTCGCACCTGGTGATTATGCATGAGGAGGGCGAGGTGGACGGTAAAGCCATCCCTGACCTCACCGCGCCCGTGGCCGCCGTGCAAGCGGCCGTCAGCAACCTCGTCCGGGTGAGCACGCCGGGCCTGGGGCGGGAGCGGGCGGGACGAGTCCCGGTCTGGGTCCGGGTCCGGGTCCGAGGCTTGGCGCCTTTGCGGGGTCCAGCGCCAGATGCCGCGGGTGGGACGCTGATTCTCCGCTCGGTGACCTTGAGCAAGCCCTCGGGTCTCGCAGGGCCTCAGTTTTCTCATCAAGAAAATGGGGCAGTCGTCTTAAGGGTACGTGTGAACTCTCAAGCAAGTATTCCAGGGAGATGCCCCAGCGTGGCAAATGCCCAGAGTAAGCTGCGAATACATGCTGGTCGTGCAGCCATCCGATGGGCCCCTTCCCTGGGGGGCTGTGATCCCTCATGGACTACCTTGCTTTCAGCTCCTTTTTAGGGCTCCCCGGGCTGGCCTGTGTGTGGGCGGTTCTCTTACGGATTCCCTGACTTTCCTACCAGGGATTCTTCTTTGAGCCACGATGCTGACCTTTCTAACACTTCTGCACCAGATTCCCAGACCTGGCTCGCCCACCCACCCCTTCCAGGGCTCCTCGGTGCGGCCCCTTTTTCCTGATTATCTTACTGAGCACCGCTCAGTGCCTTCTTCTCTCCGAGGCACTTTACTTCTGCTTTCACCTCAGGCACTTAAATACCTTTACATTATAATTCAGGACCTGCAGCCCGTTTTTCCTCTTGCTTCATCCTTGCTCCCTGGTGTGTCACTGCCTGCTACGGCGATTTCCACCTGGCCTTACCTGCTGTCAACCGGATTCCTCCCACAGGGACCTTTCCTTAACGAGGGGCCCTCCCCTCCGGCACCTCCTTCTGGCAGGAAGCAAGATGGAGCTGCTGGGAGAGGCCTGTGGAATCTGGGATCTGAGAGACGGGGGCGTCCCCGGGCTGCTCCCATTTCCTGGTAGCCGGTGGCTCTGAACTCAGACCTCTGTCGTTAAGAGCTGTGACTGAGGCGATTTTTGAAGGAGGTAGAGTCCACTTCTGAAATAAAAGGTAGTGGGAACAGTCATCTAACATTCCCCTGGTTAATGTCACACTTAATGTCCCATTCTGGGTGGGTGACTCACACTGCTGCTGCCTGTGAACGGCAACTCTTGGAAAAAGTTTATAGTGCTCCTTCACAGAGCCTCATAAATAGTGTGTTAGGGTAGTTGGGAGGTAACTGTGGGTCTGGGTGGGGCTTGGATTACTTACCCGATTAGATTAGAGCGCTTTGGTGCTCAGAGAGGCCCTTGAGCAGCTAAAAGTCTTCCTGGGGGTGGAGGTGGGGCTGGGGTTGTCCCAAGCAATGCAGGACTGAGGGAGATCCTACAGACCAAAGTCCTGATCTTTTCCTACAGCTTTAATAAGAATGTATTCAGGAAGAATAGTGTATTCATTCAGAATACTTACTTCTGCATTGTCCATTCTCCTTATAGCTAATCTTAACCTAAGACTGCAGAGTGCATTCTTATGTCCTGTTGTCTGACATGGCTGCATTCCAGGCCTCCATTTTTCACCAAAGGGAAACAATGTAAAGAGACAAGGTAATAGTGTCCCTCTATGCAGCACTTCAGGAAATGAAATCTTAAAACCACATGTTGCACTTGGAATAGAGCTAGTGTAGCCAAGGGGTTGATATCTGGTGAGGCTATTTAGAGAAAAGTTTATTTATGAGATTCCATGCTATGAATTAATAAGCATTGAATGGCTGTTTTCTGAAGAACATTGTAATAAATCAGTGGTTCTCAGCTCAGAGTGTGCATGAGAATCACCAGTGGGGCTTCTTAGGTATAAAGATGTCTGCTTCCATCCCAGACTTCAGGAGAGCTCTCCAGGGGGAGGGTCAAGGCCCCTGTGTCTTTAAGAAGCTCCATACAGTGCTTGGGAAGCACAGTAGTGGACGCTGTGAGACCAACAGAAATAAGGCCAGTCATAAGCTGAAAACAATTACATGCTGTTAACATTCTTCCCAACCCATACAAAAGAAGGGATTGGAGATTGGTGGTAGAGATGAGTGACAGAAAGTGGAAAAAACTTGTGCCGAAAGCCCTGAACAAAGGTGTCTGTGAGTTAAGTCACTTCCAGGTTTCAATAATGGGTTGTCTTGATTGAATGAAGCTCAGGAGGTGAGTGGGAGAGAAATTAGAGATGAAGTCAGTGAGTGACATATGGGCAGTTTAACGGATGGCTTAGCTGACAAAGCAAGATGAACAAAGAGCAGAGGGGAAGACCCTTTGGGTTCTGTCCTGGAGAGGCCTGAGGCTCTAATCATTGCTTTGAATTCCTAGTGTGAATTGAGGTTTTTAACTCTATGGACCTTGTAGGTACCTCAAGTTCCCATTTTTTTTCCCTTTCTTGGGTGGGCGAGATTCAGTCCCAGGGCATTACCACTGAATTCCATCCCCACTCATTTTTATTTTGAGACAAAGTCTCACTAAGTTGCTCAGGCTGGCCTTGAACTTGTGATCCTTCTTCCTCAGTCTGTTGCGTAGATGGAATCCAAGCATGTGCTACTATGCCTGAGTGATGTTATTTTATATACCGTCCAGTTCCTGTCCTGAATATTGGCACAGCGATGATTTTATAAATATTGTTGAAAAAAAGGAACCATGGGAAGGTAGATTAGAGGATTTTAAAAATCGATAGGTCATGAAAGCAAGGAAGGCCTGAAAGTTTGGATATTGTAGGGAAAAAATGAAAGAATTAATAGAAATTTATTAGAAGAAATAGTAAAATTCAATATAGAACTCTTGAGTTTGTTTGAAAGGAACATACAATATTACTATAAATAATGAGTTACCTTGGGAAGCTGTATCCTTATGACTGTGCTTCTCTTTAAATTGCTTTCAGATTATTTATATATGTATGCCACATTAGTTTTATTTTGATCAAGAAAATGTACTTTGAGAGCGGTGGGCACTCCTGAGCCTGGCTGCTGTATGTACCATTTTTGGTCTAAATAACTTGTGGTTATTGCCCAAATTAAAGTTAATTGAATGAGGATAGCATTCTCAGTTGCTGAGCATGGCCATTCACTTACAAACCTATTTATTAGGACTACTTTGAATGTTAAAACTGGCAGAATAAGAGTGATACTGGATTGAAAGTGTTCTGTGGCCCCAAGCAAAACCCTGGAGATTCACAGGCAGATACGGGAACTTCTGATGGGAGGGTTGGAGAAGGTCCTAGAGGGTCAAATAGGTGAATGTGGCATTTAAGACTGACAAGATTTGAACTTTTACAGATATAAGAAAGAAGGCCTTAGGGGCTGGGGATTTACTCAGTGGCATAAGCACTTGCCTTGTAAGCAGGCAGTCGTGAGTTCGATCCCTGGTACCGATTAAAAAAAAAGAAAGAAAGAAAGAAGGCCTTGCATGTGGAAGAAGCTATGCAGGCAAAGGCCAAGAATTTTTAAAGCAATAAAGGCCTAAACTTCGGACATTGAAGGGAAAAATGGAGAAAGCATTAATAGGGATTTGTTAGAGGGATAGGATTTATTAGAAGGAATATGGGAACTCAATTATAGAACTCTTGAGTTTGTGTGGAAGAAACATGTGAACAATGAAACTGACATTTGAGCAAATATTCTCGAGTTTGTTCATTTTTGTTTTGAGACAGGGTCTCCCTGTGTAGTTCAGGCGGGCCTTGAACTCACAACATAACCCGTGCATGAACTTGATGAACTCATGGTGATCATCTTGCCTCAGCCTCCTAAGTGCTGGAATCACAGGCATGCACCACCATGCCTGGTTTGGAATTTATGTAATCTGATTATTTCTTGGAGTTATCTTGGGAAGTTATATTTTTATTCCAATGCTTCTCTTTGTGAATTTGAGGACTCAAACAATTTAAGGACCAAATTTTTATTTAGAGCATCTTAAAGATGACTGTTTGGTGGGGGGCAGGACATGTTTGGATTTATAAATTAATATAAAAGCAAATACGCACATATATATCTGAAAGTGCTCATATTAGCACAACGTGTGGGTGTATATATGTAAATATCACAGTGTATATGTGTATATATATCATAGCATATTTGTGTGTGTAGATTACTTTTTCCATATTTAGGAAGGGGACAGGATGGAAATATTTACTTAATGTCCTTTTTTTCTTCTGAGGATCCTGAATAAGACCATTTTTTCTAACATATTAATTTTAATATTGCATTTTTCCTACATCCCCATTTCATGTAGTTAAAGAATTTAAAAGTGAAAGAATCCTTCATGAATAAATCCAGCTGCCTGTTTTAGGGATCTGACAGTCAGACTATTGGATAGTTGGTTGAGAACAGAAAAATTCTATTTTATTTTAGTCATTTCCAGTTCTTTGATGTCTCTTGTATTGTGTGTGTAAAGGGGAACAAGATTGTTAATAAGACCATTTTGGGATAGGTATGTGAAGCTATAGTTCCTTACAAGGTAATTCACCCATTTAAAATGTGTAATTCATTGGTTTTTGGTGTATTGACAGGGTTGTGCAGCTCTCATGACAATCTGATGTTTAGGGCATTATTGACCCACCAAAGAAACCCATGTCCATTAGCAGTCTCTTTCTTTCCTCCTTTTTTACCTTTCTAATCCCTAGCAAGTACAAATGTACTTCTGTGTTTGGGATTTGTTTTTGCTAGACATTCCATGTAAGGGAAAATCATACAGTATGTAGCCTAGTATTGGCTTCTTTGACATAATGTTTTGAGGATTCTTTTGTGGCATAGCATGTATCAGAACTTCATTCTTTTTATGGCTGAGTAATATTCCTTGTACAGAGTAAGTGTGTTTTAAATGCAAAGAAGTTCAGTGCAGTAAAAAAGCAAGGGGGAGAGGAGCTAGGAAAGGGAGGAATGGAAAATGAAAAAGAGAGAACTGAGAAGGATAGGATTCAGTAAGTAGTGTAAAAAAGTCAGAAGTCTTGGGCTCATGTCTTTTTTTCTTTTTTCTCCTGCTATGTAGTTCAGGCTGGCCTTGGATTCAGTATGTAGCTCAGGCTGACCTCAAACTAGCACTGATCCTCCTCCCGAGAGCTGGGGTT